TGTGGTGAAAGACCGACCAACTCCAAAGGTGTCTCTCTGTGGCTTTCTGTACCACTTGCACTCACTGCCTTTTGTCTGGGAGAACTCATTGGCATGAAGAATGGCCGATCCCTTGATGCAAGGCATATTGGTCTCCCACCCTCCCTACGATGGCTGTTCAGTGCCACTGTCATCTTATTCCAGAGGTGGAGGACTTTCAGCCCTTCAGAGGATCTCTTTGTACAGTCCCACACCGCTGGCTGTGGGGAGGGGAGGGCAACTGAAAATGTATAACCTCTGGAGAGCCAACATTTTCTGATGTCAGTTTTTTCCAGTACAATTTGAGTGGCTGCTGCCAGGCTGTGGAATACACTCCTTCAGGAGCCCAGGTTGCCCACCTGCTCCTCCTCTCGACCGCTTGTCTTTCTTTCCACCGGTTTGCTTTTTTAAGACATGCATTCGGTTGCCTAGGAGAGGTGGGAGCCATTATGGCATACTGCCTATGCTGAACTGACTGGCTATGTCATTCAGTGTTTCTAAATGATGGTTTTCAAATCATTATTTAACTGCTTTTTATAGTATGCCTTACTATGTTTTTAACTGCGTTTATTACATTGTTCTAGTTGATTGTGAACTGCCTTGCGTCCTGTAAAGAGGAAGGCTGCTATTCCTTTAAAAATATAGTTCATCTTGCAAGATGTTCTCTTCAGATAACTTGTAAACAGCATTAATAGAACACCATTAATTATATTACTTTTATGTACTATGAAGTTGCATCTGAATTATAGTGACCCTAATATGGTATCTAAGGTATGTGAGATATTTGGCCGAGCAGAGACTTGAACCCAGGCCTCCTCGTCTATCATTCTATCCCCTAACTTACACTAGCTCTCAACAACAGTCGTGCAACCACATTAACAAAAATATTTTGGTGTCTTTTGTTGTTATGTGCTGACAAGTTGCTCCCAATGTATAGTGAAACAATTAATTAATGACCTCCAAAATGAAAATCATTAACAACCCTGCTAAACTTTTGCAAGGTAAATGTGTCAGAAACTAATACATTTTTCCTCTTCTGAAATATATGACACAGCTACCTCTCTGAAAATCCAGAAATATGAAGGGTTCCCCTCACTTTTCTGGACACCTGTATGTTCTCTGTTGTCCAATTATAATAGCAATACAGCAGGCAAATTGCTAATTTCCAGATTTCATAATTGAAATTACAGTATTCAATAATGGGTCTCATTAGACATGATTATGCTAGGGCTTCAGTAAACTCTTTAATGCCTCACCCAACTTACTGACAGTGTATGACTAGATTCTCTGTACTTCCCCTTGCTTGGACTACAAGCCAGTCTTGGGCACCGTACCCAGCGCTGAATGTGTGTAACTCCATTTGCCCCACAGTTTATATAAATGTTACTGTTTTAGATTACAACTCCCATAAGTTCACAATTTTGGGAGTTATATTAAAAGAAAATGATTTTTCCAAGTCCTGACTTTTCTTCATGGCTCAGAACTGAGGAAAATGTGAAACTTTTACCTGTCAAATTTAAACACATGTTTATTTTGAAAGGATTTTAATATTTGCTCACTTTGTTCTTACTTAGCATACACATATCATAAAGCTGGCATGAATGTTTTACTTGTGAACCCTGTATTTTACTGTGTTTCATTCATGTCTGAGGAAGGGGACTCATCCATGAAAGCTCACATTAAAATATAACAGTCTTTAAAGTGCCATGGGTTTTTGTCTTTTTGATTTTTATTTTATATTTATTCATTGGTTGTTGTTGCTTTCCATTGGGTTTGACTGACATGCTTGGACAGACTAACATAGCTACCGCTTCTAAATCTACGTGTATCAGACAGCAAACCTGTGGATATTCCTGTGATGGTGCCCTACGCATTGCTGAATCACAGACTTACTTCCCCCAAAAAATGTCTGCCGTCTGCCTATTGTAAAGCAAATTGTCACTTTATCTAGGGCTGGGCCTTTCATTCAGCAAAGTGAGAACGCTACATCAGACTTTGTGAAATGGCAGCAAGCTGTTAACTATTTAATTTGTTCTGTTCTTAATACACTTTCAGTGCCAGGGATGGAGAGAGGGCTTGTGTGATTTTGTGTTTCAGATGTCAACATAACCTGTCTGCCTTCAGGTCAGGCTGAGGGAACCTCTGGCCTTCCATGCATCGCTTGACTGCCACTCCCATCATCCCTCATCATTAGATGTGCTGGCAGGATCTGATGAGAATTGCAAGTCAGCAACATTTTGTATGCCATGCATTTCCCTCCTCTGCTTTATGTATGATGTATCTTGCCTTGAGTAGCTGGGTCGGTGCAGGGAAGCCTTTAGGCCTATGCTACCCCTTTGGACTGGCAGCCACCCTTCCAACTTCTTAGGCTGAAGTAAATCAGGCTTTCACATTACTTACTACCTGATCCTTTTTACTGGAGTTGCTGGCAACTGGATCTTATCAGGCTTTCACATTACTTACTACCTGATTCTTTTTTACTGGAACTTCTGCACACAAAGCCAGTGATCTGCCACTCAGGTATGGACCTGAGTGTGATCCCTGCTGACTTAGTCTCACGAGGGACTGTAAGACAAGTTATACCGATGGAGAGCCACTAAATTTCATAGCTTAACAGGAATGTGAAACAATTTCTGCACACAAAGCCAGTGATCTGCCACTTAGCTGTATGGATCTGAGTGTGATCCCTGCTGACTTGGTCTCATGAGGGACTGTAAGACAAGTTATACCGACGGAGAGCCACTAGATTTCATAGCTTAGGAATGTGAAGCAACGCTTCTCTAGTCCAATTTCAAACGCAGTCTACTTCACATGAAGTAGATATCTTCTGTCACAATGTCAATAAATGCTCATTTGCGAATCATGTATTGTACCCAATTGAAAATGCTTTTCTGTAGCAACCCCAAAGAGGCCTTGGCAGGGAAATACAAAGTTTCCCTTTTTTCCCCTTATGGATGAAAAGGGTTGAAACAGCAACAATTCTGGTGAGAAAATGATGCACTTTCTCTTACTTTTGTTGCTCCAGTCTGCTACCACATTAATTTTTTTTTAAAATCAGAGCCACATCCTCATCAGGAATCATATTTATCTGCCCACATCGTCATCAGGAATCATATTTATCTGCCTTATAACTCTAATGCAGTTTTAAAAATAGAAGTGCTGTACTTTTAAAAATAACCACTCACAAGGTCTAGGTGTTTCATGGCCTCTCTGTCTCCCTCCCTCTGTCCATTCCTTAGCACCTGTGTGCTCCTAGTCAGACACTGTGCAGCACATGAGGCAGGACTCTGATATTTTATTTCCCATCCTTGAGTAACCCAAATGTTCTTGGTTTGCAGTTCCCAGAAGCCTCCTCCACCAGCTACGCTGGCCGAGGTTTCTGGGAGTTGAAGTCCGAGAACACCTGGGTTACACAAGATTGGGAACCACTGCCTTAGCAGATTGCTCAAAAGAGGGCATTTTGTCAGCATTGTGACAGCTATATTTGCAAAAGTTTCCTGTTAGGCATCTCTTACTGAAAGCACAGTCTCTTTAGTGCCCTTCTGTATCTACTCACTTTGTACACACCCACACTTTTCTTTACTGTTATACACATCTAGGCAAATTTTTAAAAAGACGGCGAACAGCAAGACACATACCCCTCCCTTCCAAACTTAATTATATATGGGATGAAATTCCGCACTAAGTTACAACTAGCACAGGCCCATTGAATCAATGGAACCTATGGAGGAGTTGACTTTCCAAAGACTCTCAATCACGAAGGCTTTGCCTTAGTGATTTTCTATCTGAGATGCGTTTTAAATGGAGTGTTATGCCTTGCTGCTTTGAACCTGTTGTAGCTGTTGATTTTGGTTGTCATTTTTAGTGCAGTGGTTGCGTGATTCTTTTTTTTAGTACTTTTTAACTTACTGTTTTTAGCTTTTAAATATTGTCTTTTAATGATGTAAGCTGGCTTGGGTCCTTTTTGAGACGAAAGGCAAGGTAAAAATATTTTAAATAAATAAAACATTGCTTCAGTGGACCTACTTTCATTGCAACTTACTGCTGGAGTTCAGCCATGAAGTTAATGCTAAAGTATTGCCACCCAACTTGAGTTTTTGTAATCATCCTATGAAGGAAAAGATGAACTTGGGACTCAGTAAACAATGTCAAAGACTGTCTCAAGGCTGTGCTTGCAACAAATAAAACTCTTACTAGCCCCCCTGTTGCTCCTGTTTCCCTTGTGCAAAGATCTTCACACTTACCAAGATATGCAACGGTCCAGATTGGTAACAATCATATGCTCTTAATTCATGTTTTATTTTGTCCTGGAGTAGAGGACTATTGTGCGGAATTCTTATGCTTCCTTGATTACTTCTCCTAAGCTCCGAGTCAGTCTAGTCAACCAGTTTAATGCTTCCTCTCCACAGAATTCTCCTCCAATCTCATTTCCCGTTCCTTTATGGCGAGATTGGAAACGTTCCAACACACACACACCCTTTTTTTTTACTACAACTTCTAGAATCCCCTGATCAACATTTTATTCGACTAATTTGTACATAAAGGTTTTTCTTTTTAAAAGGTGCAAGCTTAGGAGGACATAAAACAAAACTCGCCCCCACCCCAAATCAAAATCAATACAACGGAGGAGTGCAGAAAGTGCACCACCCCATCGTTTTACTATATTCAGAAAGGAAAGCCCCACTGGACTTCAGTGGCGTTTACTCTTGAGTAAGTATTTGTGTTCCACCTCGGCACAGTTTTAGGGGGGGGCAGCCACTGTGACCCTAAGTCCTTTATTACGCAGGCAAACACTTCAGGAGCCCGTTCGTCCCTCCCCAAAGGGCTTCCCCGATCCGACGCCTCCCGTTGGTTCTCTGCAACTCCCTTTATCGCCGAGCAGCCTCAAGGCCGCCTGGTTTGCGCTTAAAAGGAGAAGTCTGCTGATTAGCTGCCCGCCTTGTCAATCATAAGCCAGGGAAATTCCAGGCGAGACGCTTCTGACTCAGCTTCCTCTTGAGCAGCCTGCGGAGAGGAAGTAGGAGAGATGTCAGCGATGCAAAACACAGTCGAGCCGGGACACGGAGAGACCCCCGTCACCCGTAGAGCCTTCACAGGTAGGACTGGCTTACGCCTAGGTGCCCCCCTTTTCCTCAAGTGTAACAAAGATCGAGGCCTTTTCCCGGGCAAGAAGGGGGGGTTTGTTCACCACTCGGGGGGGGGGAGATCACCTTAATTGCCGGAGACCATCATTTTGAAGTTAAAATTCGAGATGCTGCTGAATGTCAGTGATGCTAAGGGAGGAGGGGATCCTGTCTCGTATCTCTTCTTGGGCTATTGGGATAAGGGCACAATTCGTCTAAAAGACCTGATCAAACTAGGTCAAGACAGGATCTGCTTATGATTTGGCAAGAGGTGGCATGTTGCTCCTGAGGACGGTAGCCGTGGCAGGCGAGATCTAAGGTGGATCAGTTTCCAGGATCTGGAAAATGATTTTACTTTTGCTTCCATTCTGTGTATCCTTGAAATATCCTGTTCATAGACCAGCAGCATCCCCTCAGTTTCTGCTGTGATCAGGAATGCCAATGGAAGTAATAACGACAAGGCTTGTGATTCACTGTGGTCCCCACTGCCTTTACCCCTTTGGGCAGGGAGGGATTTAAATCTGACACTTACGGAGAGATTAGTTGACTTTTAAAGTAGGCATTTAAGAGTTTTTGAAAGGACTGGGCAGTGACAGAAACAAGCTGTTTACCTTTCAAGTCATATTTCCATGGTACTCTCATCCATTGTTAAGATGATGAAACGGTGCGTTTATGGTTGAAGTATGGGTGGAAGAGCCAGGCCAGATTGTAAATGGGTAGCATTGTTTTCTGATATGCGAAGCCATGATCTTGGCCTTGGAACCTCGAGACTTAGGATGCGTAAGGCTCAAGCTGTTTTGGTGTAGGTCTAATGGCACCACGACTTACATTACAGGACTGTAGTGTTAACTTCATGTGTTTGTGTTTCACCTTCCTTCTAAGAGTTTCGGGTTGGCAAACAAAGATACCATCACTTAGTGTCATGAGACTGTGTTGTTGTTTTTTAAGAGACAGTGGCTACCTAGAGAACTTTTTTCCTGGGATAGGAATTGAATTCAGTTCTGAATACAACCTCAAGTTTCTTTCCATTACACCAGGGATAGAGAACACGCAAGCCTTCTGATGTAGTTAAGATGCAACCGCCATCATCTGTCACCTCTGGCTGTGTTGGTTAGTTCATGTAGTCCTACAACATCTGGAAGGTCTCGTGCTCTTCCCCACACACATTATAAGATACTAACTTTTTACATCACTTTTTTGTTCTTTTGGTACTTTTTCTTCTCAGAATAATGCAGGGAGATATTACCCCATTTTACAATTCAGAAAAATTAAGTTGAGGTTAAATCGTTACAATACACGTATGTCAAGTATTCTAAAACTATGTATACTTCTGTGCATGGTTGCTTGGAATTATGCTCAGTGAAGCTTACTTCTGAGTAAAAATACATTAAATTGGGTTTAAATCTATGTTTGTATATTTTGGCTACCTTTGGAGTGGTGGCAATTACTTAACAGATAATAACTTTTTGAAAAAGGAACCATAAGATTGCCCATATTCTTTCTTGTCATGAAGAGCAGTTCCTCTGGCAAATGTTAACTCGTTGTCTTCAGAAAATGGGGGGAAGGCCGTATTTTTGGAAATTTCCGGTCAAGAAACATCATAATCCTGCCATTTGTAGTATGTCAGGGAAGGTGACTTCTAAAGTGGGTGAATTTACCTGGGTGGGTAAACTCACCCTACTTTTGTGAATATATGTCACATTCCGAAAGTACCTTCCTACTCTATAGCCTGTTCAAAGAGATTAATGCTTTTCTGTGCCTTTTCAGTAGATACTGGTTAATTGGCTAGTGGACTTTGAAAAGGACAAAGGAGCATCAGGATCTGTCCCCAGTAGATTGCCTTGTTCATATCAACAGGTCTGAAAGTTATTGAGATCTTTGGCCTTTTGAATTTGTAAATCTTATGAAATGTAGCTGTCACCATAGCACCTATACCTTTTCCAACTGATAACTGAAGTGTATTAAACTGAATCAAAGGGTTTTCCGCATATACTTTCCCGTGCAAGAATATTTACGTGACAGTCTAAGGGAGCAGAAGGTACACTTTATGAGTTTTCTCGCATCTTTCCACAACAACAGGCATTGTGAGGACATATTTAGCTGCCCTGAATGCTTCATTAACGAAAACAAAATAAACTGATAAGCTGGCTTTGTATCCACATTCAGTTAATGGACATCAAGTTGATGCACAATTGCGTTGTGTGAAAAACAGCAACCTCAATTTCCCTCTGACTAGCCTCGTGATTATTGTTTTAATACACTTATGCTAGCCAACAGGCAGGAATTGTGGGAGCTATGATTCAACAATCTCTGAAGTGCTTCAGATTCCTTACCCTTATTATAGGTCTTGAGCAATGGGTACTTCAGCCTGAGAATTCCCCTTTCCCCAGGTTATGCTTGTTCCCATCATTTAATGCTCCCATGGTAATAATGCATACTAGGTGAGACTGGGTGTGTAAGCAATTCCTCTTGCTTGCACTATTAGATTGTCAGTGTCATCACCAAATAGCATGGTTGGAGGTGTGTCTTGCCCAACTGTACTAAGCAAATTTTAAAAAATAGTTTGATATTCTGGTGTTCCTGTTCTCAGGCCATAGAAAGGTTACTTGGAAGGTTTCTTGGAGCAGTTGAAATTTTATCTCTCCTGGAATCACATTTAGTTTTTTCAAGAACTAGATCTTTTTGGAAGGTTTAACTTCATGACTTCCCAAGTTGTCCTGTGTTCCATGAAGGCAAAAGTTTCTATAAAATAAAATAGGGACAGGTCCAAACTTGAGTAAGAGACCTTGAGAAGTTTGGTATTATTTGTCCCTGGTTCTGTTAGCCTTGGTGGTTTCAGTTGTTGGCTGTTGTCTTAAAGCAGGAGTGGGCATACTTCTCCAGATGTTTTTCGCATACTGTCTCTACCAACAATAGCCGATAGTGAAGGAATATGGAGCTGCAGTTCAGAAACATTTGAACGGCAACAGTTAACTGCTCTTGGTTGAGAGCCTTTTAGCCAGACAATTTATAAAGCAATAAAAATACAATTGTTAGCTTCTTCCAAAGGATCTGTAAGTCTTGGCTCGTTTCTTTGATATTAAATTTCTGCAGCGCTTAAAACCCTGTGTTTTTTTCTGGGATATTACAATTACCATATTTTTCTGTACTGTATATAAAATGATACTTTTTCCTAAAATTGAGGGTCGTTTTATACATGGAAGAAAGAAGGGGGAGGGATCAAAGCACTTTGATCCCTGCTTTCCCTTTCCACTTTGCAAAAAGCTGCTTTTCCCCTAGCAAAAAGTGGAGGGGGAAACGGGGGGTGCTTTCCCCCTCACTTTCTTTGCAAAAAGTTGCTTTCCCCCTCCACTTTTTGTGAGGGGGGAAACCAGCCTTCTGCAAAGAAAGAAATTCTGAGTTAGAAAAGTGGAGGAGCGTCTTATACATGGGGCTGTCTTATACATGGAAAAATATGGTATTTCCTTAGCTAGTAGCTAGGGCGGTACACTGAAGTCCAGGCTGCAGTCTGATTGCCTGAATTTCACAGGCATTTCCCCTCCCGTAGTGCCATCACCGAATCAGTTAAAGTTTCCAGTGGTTCCCAACCTTTTGTCCCCAGATAATCTTGGACCAAAACATCCCAGAAGCTTTCATCACTAGTTGTGCTGGCCTGGGTTTCTGGGAGTTGCAGTCCAAGAACATCTGGGTTCCCCATGGTTAGGAACCACCAAATTAAACTACTCCCTTCTTGCTTCTGTCTCTTGGCCCTAACACCAGGGTTCAGCTTGCATAAAGAACCTTTTGCTCTAGAGGAAACTGACCAGTTTCACTACAGTATCTGGAGAACTGCCATTGCTTGATTTCATTGTCTTGACAAATTAGTTGCCGCTTCTCAAGTAGGTCCACTGGTTGGAACCAAAGCAGTCCCTCTTCTTCTAATAGGTAATGGCTTGCATGTTGTATTATGTTTGCCCTAGTGCTTGGAAAAGTTACCTTTTTGGACTGCAACTCTCAAATTCTCCTGCCAGCATGGCTATCAGTTTTAAAAGTCTACAAAATACAGTAGACATATATGCTAAACTGATAATCTGAAACATTTACTAATCTTCTCTCTAGTGTGTAAACAGTGAGATAGACAAGTAGGTTTGCAAGGTGATATCTTACAAAGTCTAAAGCCAAACCATGGGAAATCTTACCGCCCAATCTACAGAAATAATTTTGTTACTCCATGTCAGATATCTGAACCTGTATGCCAAATATAGTCACTTGTTTTACTAACTACTGTTCGTGTTCTTCCGGCGATAGTTGAAGGACACTATTTCTCTGCATGTGCACCCATCTGCTCTGTATGGTTGGGAGACCCTCCGGAATAGGTTTTATTGGCATGTAGGCTGCTGTGCCACAGATGAAGTTGGGAAAGATCTGTCTGTAGAGAGAAAGTCTGATTGTAGTGCGGTGGTTAGAGTACTGGACTGGAATGTGAACGCTTCAAGTTCCAGCCCCCAGTCAGCCTTGGAAGTCAAAGTGACTTCGTGCAAGTCCCTCTGTCTCCATCCAAAACGGATTTAGAGGGTAGTTGTGAGAATGAAAGGGACAGACGGAGAGCTATATAGGCCACCTTGCAGTCAGTCAAGAAAAGTTGAGACATAAATGTTGTAAATAACCATAGTAATTAAAGGTAATAATATAGACCACAACGTAATGGTTACAGTTATCATACAAGTTGAACTGAGTTGGAGATAAGTCAATACTATGGGTAAAGTGACACCAGTAAAAAAACCTGTGAGTATAGGTATTAATTTTAATACAGTAGAAAACGCCCCCCATATCCATGAGGATAGGTCCCGGCCTCCCTCCATGGATGCTGGAAAATACAAATACTGTAATAACAAACCCTGTACATTGGTTTCTTCTAGTGGACAGTTCTGGTAAGTACATTATGGAAATAGGTATTTCCAAATTTTTATTTTAATATTTTTAGACTGCAGATA